ACTGTGATACTGATATGTACTGATACTGATACTGATACTGAATTTCTATGTTAAAGGTAAGGTCATCTTCATTTGCAGGGTAGGAGTATAGAGTGTCTATCATTTGAATCAGGGACCAGCCCAATATTTCAGTCAGTACTCTGTACTACCCTTGAATATTCTTAAATTGTACCAACTTGAATAGTACTAGTAGTACTAGAATGTGAATACTTGAATACTTGAATATTTGAATACTGTATTGTATTCTCTCCGTACCATACATACATCCACTCGCACAGACTCCATGAGTGGAGCAGCCAATGTCAATGGTCTGCACTTTCCAAGTCCAATCCCTCTCTTTTGCCCACTTCCCAAGGTTTATCCCTAGCTGTCATTGGCTATTATGATAAGGGTTTTCCCTTTGAGGTTAGCATCACCCGCAATGAATCCCTGGGTTGTTTACCAGGGCCTTCACTGGTGACCTTAGAGCCCTGGTAATCCCATTACCATCTCCTACTAAAGCAGATGCTTCCCCTCCCAGGGGCGAAGATCTTCTTTTCTTTCTTCCCTCAACGCCAATACAGTTTTGTGCTGTCCTTCGTTCGTCTTTTCTCTTTTGTTTTCCCAATTTTTACTTCAATCCCACAGTTCGCTCGTTTGCCTGTGGTGTTTATTCCAAACCCGCCAAATCCCCCCCCCCCTTCGTTGTACATTCTGTGGTTTCATTCAAACGCACATACCCACCTACCACATACCCAAACCAAACCAAAGTACATAAATATAATCTCACACAATGGTCCGTTTCGTGACCTCCCTCCTGGCCCTGTCGGCTACCGCCTGGGCTGCTTCTTCCTGCAGTGCCAGCAGCCAGTGCCCCAAGGACAAGCCTTGCTGCTCTCGTGAGTACCATACAATACTCCCCGATCGGTCTTGATCCAATCGCATTCACATTCGCTGACCTTCTTTTCGCGATATAGAATATGGTGAGTGTGGAACTGGCGCATACTGTCTGGGCGGTTGCGACCCCCAGGCTTCCTTCTCTGTGGGCTCTTGTGCCCCCATGCCCGTCTGTGAGAGCAAGAGCTACAAGTGGGACGACCTCGACGACACCATCCTGAACACCAAGTATCTGGGTAACGCCACCAAGTCCGACTGGACCTACAGCGGTTTCCCCAAGATCGACGATGGCAACCTGGTCATCACCATGCCCAAGAACAGCGTCGGTACCCTCTTCGCCAACAACCACTATATCTGGTACGGCAAGATCTCCGGCAAGATCAAGTCCAGCCGTGGAAAGGGTGTTGTCACTGCTTTCATCCTGCTTTCCGACGTCAAGGACGAGATCGACTACGAGTGGGTCGGTGCCGACCTGACTGATGTCCAGACCAACTACTACTGGCAGGGTGTTCTGGACTGGCACAACAGCGGCAACGCCTCCGTTGACGGCGCCGACACCTTCGACACCTGGCACACCTATGAGATCGACTGGCAACCCGAGCAGACCCAGTGGATCGTTGACGGCGATGTTAAGCGCACCCTGAAGAAGTCCGACACTTGGAACGAAACCGCCAACCGCTACCAGTACCCCCAGACCCCCGCTCGCCTGCAGATGTCTCTCTGGCCCGCCGGCCAAGCCAGCAATGCTCAGGGTACCATTGACTGGGCTGGTGGTGAGATCGACTGGGACTCCGAGGACATCAAGGACAAGGGTTACTACTACGCTAGCATTGCCGAGGTCGACGTTCAGTGCTACGATCCTCCCTCTGAGGCCAAGAAGTCCGGCAACACCTCCTACATCTACACCAGCGATTCCGCCATGGAGGCTGATATCGCTATCACCGGCAACGACACCGTCCTGGGCTCCCTGGGTGCCACTGGTCTCGACATGGACCTTGGTGCCGGCAGCAGCAGCACTGCCACCGCTTCTGGCAGTGACAGCGTTCCTAGCAGCAACGGTGGTGGCTCTGGCGGTATGTCCGGCAACAGCTCCACCAGCAGCAGCGGCAGTGGCAGCGGCAGTGGCAGCGGTAGCGGTAGCTCAACCACCAGTGGCAGCGGTGCCGCTGCTACCACCACTGGCTTCAGCCAGGGTGGTGATGGCAACGGTGCTACCACTGTGAACGAGCGTGCCCTGAGTGGATCGCTCTTCGCTGTCCTGGTTGCTGTTGTCGTTCTGGTGACGCTGTAAATTTACCCTACTGGGTCAAAGTTCTTGCTTCTCTCTCTTTTGCATATCGAGTGTATCTTTTCCCTTCTCCTGCATGTCCTTTTGCGTGCCCCGCTTCTCGACTTGTCCCTTTTTGAACAAACCTAATGAACACCATCTTTGGCACTCGTGCCTTGTTCTTTTTTTCCTTTCATTTTCGTTTCTGACTCTGTCTCATGGCTTGATCCCATATATGTCCCCACTTTATATCCTTATGTCCTTCTGAATACCTCGGCGTTCTTCCCGTCCACGGTCACGCTGTTTGATTATGTTCCTGTTGATGTACTTCTACTCCCCCAATGGGGACCTCCTGCACATGTTTGGAAAAATGCCTTTCCACAGGCCGGATTCCTATATCCTGTCCTGGGTCTGTGATAATGGGTGGTCTTAGCTCAATTCAATATCTTTCGTTTACTCCGCTCTTCCCCTACTATCTTGGTAGATCGTACGCTAGTCCAAACTTTGCATCCCTGCCCCTTTTCATATATGGAGTACTATACTCGACCTACATACTCCACCCCCGTAGAGCAGACGTTCAGTCAAGCTACTTGATATGCAGGGGTATTGCCTGGTGTGGATTTCTGCACGGGAAGGGTTCGTCTGGTTGGATGTTGTGGCTTTGCCCCTGCAGGATCACCCCAGCTCCACTGTTTCACCCGTCTCTCGTATTCTGGCATCCACGTGGGGGCCATTGCGGAGAGGGAATGCTGATGGGATCTCGTGTAACATCTATGAAGTACTACTCGGTACGGATCTCGTACGTTGTACCTGTGTTCTGAGATTGTAATGTCGGTGAAGCCATAATGTTTTTCCAAGCACTGTGCCTTCCCCGATAGTATACCAACTCGATATTGGTGATCTATCCTGCTAGCAACACAGTAGTTACCAAATGCCTAGAACTTCACAAAACAAAGACTTGTTCTCAATCGGCCTGGGCGGCCTCGCTCTAGAGATGGGAGCAGGTGTGGTAGCAATATCCCACTGATATGAAGTTGGAGGTAGCTCACTCATAACACTACACATCTCAGCAATGGAAAAAAAAAGAAATTGAAAAATGAGTCCCTCAGTTGAAGTATCTAGCATGACACATGACTCCAGGAGCCAGAAAAAAAAAGACGATATGTGTACCGCGGTAGCTAATAGCTCATGAGAAGAGAAGTTCTATACCATCAAGTTGTCAGGATGCTGTGTAGCATCCATGGATTACTGGGCCAAACCGCTCAAATGCAAGTCCAGATTCTCTAATGACTGAACTATAGTGATCGTGGATGATTCGAATGTGGATAGGAAAATCAATATCAAGCATTGCATAATATTGTTCGCGGTGTATGTGGCATTTGTTTGACAAACTGCGTACAAACCAGCCTAGGTTTGATACTAGTATTGCCTTACCTTTTGTAACACCTCATAAAAGTCCCAGAAAATATAAATATTTGAGCATGCAGGATCAAACTAATTATATCCGCTATGTTGTGACATTCGCGAGCGCAAGATTGTAGCCCAGGGACTGCACCTTCGTGACCTATTGGTGAATACTGAGGTGCACATCTTCCATGAAGTAATTCAGACAATCCCAGGTACAGCATTGAAGAAAGTTCCAGAACAAAGTAGTCCCAATACAATCCTTTCTCAATCCATACTTATAGGCTATACATCTACTCTTCGCCATCAACGCGGCGTGCATCCAAAATCAAGCTTCCATATCTCTAGACCAGTCGTCTCCGCGACAAAGAAACGATTATCTTCTCTCTTGACTCCTCTGAAAACTACTAGCAGTAAGTGTTTCTAGATGCAGCAAAAACATCGATATACATCCACATCCGGTCTCAGGTGGATAGCATCTAATGACTATAGAATCATGTGTTTTTACAAAGGGTATACATACACGTGCCAGCACACCTGCTTTAAATTACACCTCTTCTGCCTCCAAACCCTGCGCCAACTAAACCGCATTAATGATCCCGTCGAGAGAGAAAATTACGATCTACCATTTGACCCTAACATCCCCGGTTGCAACCCACGGTATATAAAGGATACTAGGACGGGGCGGCCGGTCACAAGTTTCTCTCTTAGTAAGGGTAAACCGCTTGAGATGACGAACATTGCTTCTTGGCATTTCAATATTGAAGAAGCCTGTCCTTCTTGTAAGGATCGGGGCAGTCGGGGTTATTAGGATTGGCATTGCTGGAACTATCACTAGGTCCAGTATGACTTGGCTTGGTTCAAGTGGGTCAGACCTAAGATGGGTAAATGGGATTGGTAGACAGAGTAGTAACTACCTGGTCTCTATGGTACTTCCTTTTTCTTCCGATGCATTATGCGTAGAGCTACCTGGAAAGACGAACAATGTTACGTAGTTCTTTGAAATCAAGACTATTGTACTCCTTTCTACGTCGATCCTAGCTCTGAAAGTCTAGCCCTGGCTCAAGATGGGAAAGAACCATATAAAATGGAGCTGACAATATCCAATGTGTAATTGGGTTGACAATTTTATTGTTACTAACACGGTTACTAATATTCGTGTTGCTTAATATTCCCATGGCTACTGGCTACTTCTTACTAGTTGTTGTTACATAGCAGAGAACCATATTTCTAATAAATGTTCATTGTATATCGAGAATATTCCAAGTAGATTGAATGCACGGCCCAAAACGCCAGTTGTGACAAGAAAACCCCGAAAGCCCAAAAGCAAAGACTCATTTCCTAGTGAAGTCCACCACATCCGCAATCATCTAGAGATCGCTTCTTGAATTCGTGGTGGTATGTGTCCAGCCCATCGGTCTCCACATCGGAGCCGAGAGGATCACCCATCCAACTATATTTCTCCAGATCGGGGGGACTCCTCTGCCTCTGTGGTCCAATAGGCAGAAGACCGGAGTTTCTTGGTGACGGCACCGACATCGAGATCAAGATAATCTGCGAGGAATTGACCGACTTCAATGTTCTCATGGTTTCCTGTTAATGGCCAGGCATTCTTGGAGGAGGATGCATAGATGTTGACATCGACAGCTGGGGAAATTGAATGTTAGCACATGGGTATTTCCAAGCCTCAACCCGGGGCTGTTTGCTTACCTGAGTGACCGTGGGTGGACCAGCCAATCTGGGCTCTACGGCTAATGATGTCTGCAAAGATGTATTGCGTGGAAACGTCAGGGCGAAGCAAGTTTTCCACCTCTTCATCTGAGGCATCGGTCACGCCCATATCCTTCTTCAGAATCTCGAGGATATATTCTTTCTTCTTCTTGTCGCTCTTGTCCTTTCCTTCTCCTGATGTGTACTCATTGAGTTTATTACCAGCATACTCACTGGAGTGCTTGGAATCAGCCAGAACCTGCGGGTACCATAGGTAGTCCGGGTACTCCTTGTTTAGTTGTCGAGCAGCAGCCAGACCACCGGTTTCGTGGTCAGAGGTACCAACAAGAACACCAGGAGTGCTGTCCTTCTCCAGGAATTCGAGCACAGCGTTGAAAGCCCTGTCGTATGCCATAACCTCATGTACTTGGGCGGCAGGGTCATTACCGTGGCCGGCGTGATCAATACGCGATCCCTCAATCATCAAGAAGAACCCTTGCTCACTGTCCCGGGTTGCCTCGCTCAGTGCAGTCAGCGCAGTGCGGGCCATCTCCTCCAGCGATGGGTAGACATCGTTCTGGTGACGGCGATCGACCTCATAGGGGATGTCCTTTTCGGCAAAGAGACCCATCAACGGCAGCTTAACTCCAGCACCGCCATTCAGGGCATCAAAGCCAGATCGGTCGTCCAAGTAGTTGAATCCTTTCTCCGCGGCCAGTCCCACGATATCCCTGTCATCAGCGCGGCAGCTTCCCTGGGTAGAGTTGGGCAAGAAATGGCATCGACCGCCACCCATCAAGAGATCGACGACCCGGCCCAGAGGATGCTCGCCCACCTCCTGTTGGGCGATGCTGTCTTCATATTGTCGCAGATTGGCATGCGAAGCAAAGCATGCCGGAGTCGCATCCGTCAGACGAGTCGTCACAACCAATCCAGTCTTGTATCCAGCCAGAGCAGCAGCCTCGAGGACAGTTCCGCATGGCGAGTGGTCGGGGAGCACCGAGATAGCCCCGTTGTAGCTCTTGTGTCCGCACGAGAAGGCCGTCGCTCCGGCGGCGGAATCCGTTACCAGGCTGTTGCTGGATCGTGTGCGGGACTGACCAATGAGGTGCTGGTCCAGGATGAGGGTGTCGTCGATAGGCAGGCCTTCGGTATGCTGTCGGAAGCTTCGCGTCATCGAAAGACTAGTCGGTCCCATTCCATCCGACACCATGAAGATCAAGTTGCGCTTGCCGGTCGGCTTGGCCCCAGGACCCCAGTGATCCTTCGGCGGGCCGGCGAGGTTCTTCGACGAGTCATGCTGGTAAACTACCGCAAGTATGATCACAATAATCGTGGCAATTAGTGCCCAGGCGAACAGGCCGATCTCTGTCCAACGACGCCAGCCTCGTCGAGGGGCTTCATTATGCCCTGTCGCCTCCCCCGTAAGCAGGGCATCTTCCTCCTCGGCATATCGAATAGATGAGCGCTCAGATGAAACGCGCGGAGCCAGAAGTGGCTCTTCCCGCGACATTATGATTGATGATAAAGTCGTCAAGAGCTCAGGCACAGCTCTGAACTCCCAGGTGGTTCCCCGACAAATGTGGAGTAGTCGAGAAGAGGGCGAGGGGACCCTTGATTATCACGTGATCTTGGATTAAGTTACTATGTTTAGGCACAGTCAATTAACTATGTCACTAAGATTGGAGATCTCTCCGTTCGTATCCTAAGTATATGATCGTCTCTTTGCCTTATTTACGTGGCTTCCACCCAGTGGGAATCATAGCCGCGGCGACCTCCTCGACACCTCGCTCCGTAGCCAGCAAGTTAAACTGCCCAGCGGCATTCCGGGTATCCTGAATCTCCACTCGAATGCCCAGGGCATTGATATGACGCTTCGTCTCAGGCGACAAAGGCATCGCGGTGTCACCGAGGCCAAGAATGAGCATATCTGTTACATAAAGTCAGCGTCAATCCAAAAAAAAGCCACCGATGCATATAGTTCCCCCCTAACTCTAGCGTCGTAACACTCAAGGAAAAACGAGCTTTATCACCCGATACGCCTAAGCAAGGCAACCCATGACTGAGTGACTAACTGACGCTCTAGTTCGAACTTTCCCACGTACCTGGACGAGGCCACACGACACTCAGTAGACCCCACACTTCTTCGGGCAGCTCAAACTGGCCCTTAGCGTTGACCATCGCCGCCTTGGCCGCCTGGTCATTCGCCACGCCTTTGATGGCTTTCCAAGGCCGCCACGCAAAGGGCTCGCCACCGATGAGGAGCAGCGCATCGCCATTCCTGATTCGGACCCCATTGCTCAAATCGAAGCCGGTGTCTAGCGTGGCGTCGATCGCTGCTGCAGGGGCTGCTGCATTCGCTAGTACGTCGAGGGTGTCGAAATCCGTCTGGGTGTCTTCTTCCGACTCTGGGCCGCGGTCGGGCGAGGTAGGCTTGAGCGTGTGGGAGCGTGAAACTAGCCGGGATGGGCGGCTAACTGAGCTATTGTTGCGGAAGGTGGATGGGATGGAAAACGACGCGTTGACGGAGGCGCAGCGCAAGCCATTTGACGACGGGATGGCGTGAGAAAATCGAGATGCGCTACCTCGGAGGCTGAGAGGACTTGGAGCGCTGGAGAGAGATGTGCGCAGGGCGCGGAGGAGCTGAGGCGAGGGAGAATGCATTGCGGGGGATGTAGCCAGATTATAGGCCCCGGGTGAAGCGTATCTTGGGCGATTGATCAATGGAGTTGGGGAATGGAGGAAAGAAGTTGGGGAAATCTTGGCCGAAGAGAGCTGGAGCTGCAACCATCGGGGCTTGGCATCCACGCCCAGTGCCAACTGCTGCCAGTACGCCGTGGGTGCCTACCATCTTAATGAATATTTATCTTAATTACTTTGACAGCTCCAGAAATCCGAATTGCTCGCGCATAATCAATTGAATGTCCTTTATATTAATATATCCGTGTCGGCGGCCCTAGTGATTAATCTAGTTTTTTATTTCCGGGTGTCCCAATCGTGAACGTACTGCACCAGGTTGATATGAAACAGAGACAAGGACCATGTCATACGCTTCGTGAATCCCTCAACGCCAAGAATTGCAAATGAAGAATAGAATGAATCGCAGGGCGAAGAACAAACCAGACACCAAAAGATGAAATATCCGAAAAGAAAACAAAAAGAGGGCGACAAAAAAGAAAGGGCTTTTGTCGAAACAGCCCAGGACTCACGCCATCCCAAGTTCTCCAAAAAAAAAAAAACATTACATCCTCACACTTTTTTGGTTTCCTCGGTCAAAAGTATTATAGAAAAGGGCATATGCACACATTGAAAGACAGAATCAGTGTGGAAAGGGCGAGTGGTTGCAAATTGTGGAGTTGTGGAGTCTGTACAAGCCGACCACGAAAGGTCTTAGTGAGCGGGACGGGCGCTGCCATTCCGGTCCTCGTCCGATTGACTGGAGCTGTCGTCGCTATTGGTTGCGTTTCGAATACGCTCCGCACGGTCTTGAAGAACTTGGGCCTCTGCAGCAGCTTTCTGTGCCCGGATTTGCTTCCGCCACATACTGGCGTAGCGACCCTTCAAGGCCAAGAGCTCCTCATGAGTACCGCTCTCGGCAACTTGGCCGTCCGCCAGGACAAGGATCTTATCCGCTGTCGTGATGGTACTGAGACGGTGAGCAATGACGAGCATAGTTCGGCCATGAGAGAGAGTGGACAGCGCCCGCTGGATATGCTCTTCCGTATCGGTATCAAGTGCCGCAGTCGCTTCGTCAAGAAGAATGATTCGAGGGTTTTTGAGAATAGTGCGGGCGATCGCCACACGCTGCTTCTCGCCGCCACTGAGCCGAAGACCACGCTCTCCGACCTTGGTGTTGTAGCCATCGGGGAATGCCATGATTTTGTCATGGATGCTAGCGGCGCGGCAGGCCTGGTAGACAGCTTCATCAGAAACGCCCTGGTTCGCGTACTTCAGGTTATACATCAGTGTCTCGTTGAAAAGCACTGTATCTTGCGGAACCACTCCAATGTGTTTACGCAAAGAATCGATGGTGATGTCTTGGACATCATGACCGTCCACGCGCAATGAGCCTTTCTCGGCATTGTAAAAACGGAACAAGAGTCGGAACACAGTTGACTTGCCTCCACCGGATTCTCCAACCAAAGCGGTGGTGGTTCCTGGTTCACAGTGGAATGACAACTGATTCAACGCAGGCTTCCGTGCGTCATAAGCGAACTCAACATTCTGGAACTTGATGTCGCCCTTGCACATGCCCAACGGGGTGGCACATTCATTGTCAACCACAGTAGGCTGTTCCCGGAAAAGCTCCAGCATACGCTCAGCATTAATCAGGGCAGATTGGATGGAGCGGTAGAAAGTGCCGAAGAAGTTCAGGGGGCCTTGCAATTGGGCCATGTAGGTCAACAAAGATACAAAACGGCCAACATCCTGCTGGCCTGTTGCAACCTGGTAAGCGGCGATGAAACAAGTGAGGAGTAGACCAATCATGAAGACAGTATTCTGACAGGTGTTGAGTAGTGTCAGTGAGAATAAAACATGGTATTCCGCCTGTTGATACTCATGAACGGCGTCACGGTATCGGTTGAATTCGTATTGCTCCGCGTTGAAGTACTTCACCGTTTCATAAGACACCATTGAATCGTTCCTGGATAGTGAGTGAAATGTTAGTAGTGCTCAGCTAGGTAGAAAAACAACCAGAAAAAATCGCAAACAAATAAACGTACTTGACAGCATCCTCTTGTCTGGAAGCATTGACCATTTGTCTTCTGATCTCAGCTCTCCACTGCGCCATGCGAACGGTGACATAAAGATAGCCAAAAGTGGAGATTCCGACAACCAGGGCGTAGTAGACATCGAAATAAATCAGGAAATAACCAATAGCGATGATCAGATCGAACAACATGGGAACAACCTGGAATGTGACTTGTTCCAAAAACGTATTGATGGAGCTGCCCTTGCTCAGTGCCGAAAGCACTTCACCGGTCTTCTTTCCCAAATGGAAGTCCAGACTCAACCCATGAACGTGCTCAAAAGCAGCGGTGGAAAGCTCCATATAAGAATACTGGCTGACCGGAATCCAGAGGCTGGAGCGCAAAGAACTCAGCGATCCCTGCCCACCCTGGAGCCATCGATAGAAGACGTATAGAAAGATTTCAACCCACGGGACGTGGAATGTGCTTGACCCTTGCTGGCCCACCAGGGCTCTGGTGATATTTCCGACTTGATTTGGGACCAAAACATTGACAACCCGCTGAAGGATCACCAGGGTGAAGCAAGCCACCACGACGATCTGAAGACGCCGCGACTTGGATGGCCACAAATATGGGAAGAATAGGGAGTAACCCCTCAGGTATTCCCACCAACTTGTGGAGGGCATCGTTGTTGGGCGTACCCAGGGATCTTGGGGCTTCGCTTCCGAGCGGGAAGCCCCATTTGTCGAGCCGTAAGTGTGGCCATTGGTGTGGCCATTGGTATGACCATTCTCTGCTCCGGCGGAATCCAGAAGCCCGGTGGTTTCGGAAGTACCATTCACACCGCGATGGGCATGGCCATCATGACTCTTGAAGTTGATGGAGTTGCAGATGTAAAGGAAGACCAAGGCGAAAAGGAAGAATATACGGATACTGTTGGAGACTACCTCCATGCTCTCCCAGACGGTCATACTCCGACGAAGTCGACCGCCCTTGGGATCTCCAACAATGGGTTCATGGTGGGGCGAGGTATAAAACGACAGGGAGGTGCCCAGGATAACCAATTCGATGGGGATGGCGACGGACCAGCAAACGAGTTGAGCGGGAGTAGGGGATGGGGTTGTATCGAGTAGGGTCATGAGAATGACAGCGTAGTCGAAAAAAGAGCCGACGATGTAGATCTGCGATAGGGTTGGTTAGCTTTGGTATCTTTGAAAACGCCGGCAAATTTCGCCCGCATGAACCCCCCGAGAGGGGCGACTTCCCAACTTACCACCACCGACTGACCCCGCCACCATTGCTCCGATCTAGCAATGACCACATGGGCAATATAGATGGAGGCATCGGCGAGGAATGTCAGGAGCACTCCCACTGAGAGCCAGTTGAAGCAATGCTTGACGGTCCGGGAGAAACTCTGCGTCTTCTTCGGGGGAGAGCTACGGGCTCGTCGGGGAAGAGCACGTCCACCAGGACCGACATTCTCCGCATCTTCCTGGTTTGCATTGCGAGCGATGACCATCGTATTGGCGACAAAGGCCACGACGAAGAGGAGGAGGAGGATAACCGGGTAACATGATCGTAGGTAGTCGAGCAGCTCGCGAGCTGCTTCGGGATCCATGATGGCCGAGCCGTATTATTTTTCTCTTTCTCTCTCTCTCTTTTTTTTCACTCTTCTTTTTTTCCCCGGAATTAAAAAAGGAAAAAAAGAAAAGAAAAGAAAACAAGGAAAGGAAATGGAGAGGAAAAAGGAAAGAGATGTTCAGACGAGTTCCATGACACAGCGGTGTCCCCGACGATCCGGAAGGAGGAAAGAGAAGGAACA